TTTTAAAAATTCGTAATGAATTAATATTTATTAATATATTTCTTTATTATATATGCAATAAAATAATATAGTAATAAATATAATAAATGTAAAATAATAGTTAATAAAGAAAATAATAAAGATTGAAATCAAAAAAACTCATAAATTAAATATAAAAAATGTTATTTAACATTAAATGCTATAAAAAAACAATAAAAAAAAATATAATAAATATTTATTAAATAACCATTTTTATAGTGTAAAACAAATATTTTGTACTTTTAATATTATTAAACGCCATTCTAGAATGCTATAAAAAATTTGTATCATTATGACTAACAATATACAAACGCCGATATACAACGTTATTAATATGAAAAGTTCATTATATATTATAAAACGGTGATATATAACATTATATAAACACTGATCATAAAACGTAATACGAACAGAGCGTTCGTATAGCATTCTAAAATATTACGTTCTAGTACGTTGGTATTGTTCTAGAACGCTATTCGAACGTTCCGTTTGTATAACGTTGTAGAACTTTATATAAAAATTCCTGATGTAATTAAAAATTGCAGCAATATAAATACAAGTAATGACTATTGAAATGATATATTATGAATATCTAACATAAACGAGAGTTATTGATATGAAATTACTACGAAAATGATAATATTTGCAAAATTTCACATATGAAGATATCAAAATTGATAATTTTCGAAAGTTATCGATATAAATTTATTATGAAAACGATAATATTTATAAAATTTCACATATAAAAATATCAAAATCAATAATCTTCGAAGGTTATCGATATAAATTTACTATAAAAATAATAATATTTGCAAAATTTTGTCATGTGAAAATATCAAAATTGGTAACTTTCAAAGGTTAGCAAAGACCTTTGAAAGATAACATATCGAAAAATAACAAAATACTTATATTAACATTAACTTATGAAGTTTTTCATTAAAAAAAATTTTCTGATACTTATAATAATTATATTCAAATTACTGAAAATATTATTTAACCTTTTGTTGAAAAAAATATAGTAAGTAATTAAAATAATTAATATTAAAATAATATTCAAAAACTAATAAAAAATAAAAAAATAAAATAAAATAAAATAAAAATTTAGAAAAAGATTGAAGAAAAAGAATTTAATAATAACTCTAATAATTTAAAAGAAATTTTCAAAACTTTCAAAAAAACATAAAAATCAAATGATTAATGAAAACCAACCAATTGGTGAAAATCAAATGAATGATAATACGGAATTTTCAACTCTTGACGAAATACGAGTAAGATTAGAAAAAATAATAAATAAAAAAAAAAAAAGTAAAACAAATCATAACCTTTTAAAATAAAAGAAAATTCAAAAAAGATGACTGTAATAATGATGATGATTATAGTGATAATAATAATAATTAATGATGATGATTATAGTGATAATAATAATAATGATAATAATGAAAATAATGATAATCTATAAATAATATAAAATAATGAAAACTTTAAATTACACCAGTGGTGTTGTGCACCATATCATGTAATCATATGATTTAAATATAATCCTATATAAATATAACATAAACGAATATAATTGATAAAAAAGCCTTATAATAATGTGATTATTGAAATAAGAAATAAATATATTTACATAATCAATGCACCATACTTCGTTATGTATAACACAACATTTTTTTCCCACGTTTTTCCTTCTATTTCTTTAACTTTTTCTCCTAACTTTTTTCATAATGAAATCTTTTCTAAGGTGTCATTAGAAGAAGTGTTTGAAATAAAGCCGTTTGACCAAGTACCATTGAAGGAAGTATATGAAATAGAGCCATTTTATCAAAATAGTACTCTGGAAAATATTTCTTCTAGCGAACTTAAATGAAAGTAGACTTCTTTACTCAATAGCAACAGAGATGTCTTTCAACAATTGGACAAAACTCGATGAGTATGTAGTGCTTGATATTGTTTTTATTAAAGAAGAAAATTAATTTTTTTTTAATTAAGATGGCTTAAAAATTATAAATTAGAATAAGGTTTCGTAATTACAATCACTCACAGTGAAAAGGATAAAAAAGATGATATGTCCCAGTAGCATATTTACACATGTACAAGAGGCTAAAAATATATATCAAAAAAGAAAGCACACACAGAAGAGAGCCGTAATATAGAATATAATACTGGTAACTATTAATTTTGTGTTAATATCTACTGCTGGAAGAATGACAATCTGGTTTATATCACAAAAGTTAAAAACCAGTATAATCATAAACTTGTTAAAACCATCGCTGTTCTTGTACCCAGTTATCAAAAGTTCACTTCAGAAATACAAGAGAATATTAGATTACTTGTAACATGTGGTGTGTGCTGTTACAGAATGAAAATATAATGATAAAATAATATTAAAAACACCTGCAATAATTTATAATAACCCTTAAAATAA